AAATTTACATCCTTTTTTTTACCACAAACTGAGCTTTCTTTCGGTGGTATTTGATCGCCTGTGCGTTTTTAATTTATTGCGCTATAAAAAAAAAGGCTGACAATTTTGAGAAAAAAAAACTATATTTTGGACTTTTTGCTATAAACATGTCCAGTAAAAAAAATTAAAAAATCAAATTTTGTCACAAATTTCATCCAAAATGCATTCTGCGACATGTCTCTGCTAAAAAAAATCCCAATACGTGTAAATTAATTGGTTTACATGAAAGTTATAGCGTTTACAAATGGCGGGAAAGATACTCGGATTTTTATTTTTTTTTATACTAATAATGGCGGCGATCAGCGACATATGGTGGCGATCAGCGACTTATGGCAGGACTGCGGCGGACATTTTGACACTGGGGGGGAACTGACTTGGGGTCACTGACATCCCCAGTGACACCAATACAGTGATCAGTGAAAAAAAAAAACCACTGACACTGTACTAATGGCACTGGGGAGGAAGGGGTTAACATTTTTAGAGTTTACTGTGTGAGGGGAGTGTTTTACTAGGGGGTGGGGGTGTGTGCTGGACGGGGACAGGCTGATCGAGGGAGAGAAACTCTTCTCTCCCTCTTCAGCTTGTCACGAGCTGTCAGGGAACTGACACAGAGCAGGGCTGTGTATAAACAATACCGCCCTGCTCTGTGTCAGCGATCACCGCGAATCGCGGGGAAATGGCCGGTAATGACCGGCCGTGACCCGGCGGCGGAGACCCGCTGCTGACACCCGCGGGACAGGTAGGGCGGCGCGCGCCTCCTACCTGTTTTGCAAAACCACATTTTAAAACGTCGTTTTGCCTGCCTGTGCCGCCCTGCAAACGTATATATGTACTGGCTGGAGCAGAAGAGGTTAAATCAAGAAAATTTAACTCTTTATTATCCACTTCCCATGTAAAAAACAATCTTCTTGTCATTTTGATTTAAATTATTTAGAAAACCGATTAAAGTGGAATATTCACCTTCCCAAATAATAACCACATCATCAATATATCTCTTAAATAATCTCAATTCCTCTGGGTGATTCTTAAATACTTCTTCTTCTTCCCAATGGGCCATAAAAAGATTTTGTGACACTCGGCGCAAACCTCCCTCCCATTGCTATCCCTCTTATTTGTTTATAATATGTATTGTTGTACCAAAAATAATTATGACCTAAACAAAAATCCAGGCACTCCAATAATTACTTTCTTTGGGTCCAATATAATTGACTATATTGCCTCAATCCCCAACCTACCAACTCTAATGCATCTTCATACCCTATAATAGTATAGAGGGAAGATACATCAGCACAAGCCATATAAACATTAGTCCCTCCTACCAATCCCTCAAGTAATTGTATTAAATGCTTAGTATCTCTTAAAAAGGACCTGGTTTGCTTTACCACTGGTTGTAAGAAATCATCTATATACTGGCCCATTCTTGACAGGACCAATTGTATGCCATTCACTATAGGCCTCCCTGGTGGATTAGTGGCATTTTTATGTATCTTTGGAATGGTATATATTATTGGTAGCCTACATGTCTCTGGAACCAAATATTTTTATTCTTTCTTATTCAGAATATTCTTGTCACTCCCCTTTTTGAACAACATTTCCAACTCTTTTTTATATTTTATTGTAGGATCTCTCAATAAAACTTGATAAGTGCCACTATCTCCTAATTGGGTATTTAACTCATTCATATTGTATTCCTTTGATAACACCACAATTCCTCCGCCTTTGTCCGCCAGCCTTATGACTATATCATCCCTTTTGGCCAGCTTTTTAATACCTATTTCCATTCCTTTATTTTTATAGAGTTTCGGGATATTTAACCTTTCTAAATCTTGTTTGACCATTTTTTTTAAAAACCTCTACTTGGCTATTATTAACAATCCGTGGATTAAAAAGCGATTTATTTCTAAGATTCGTGTGAGTAATATTACTACTTGGGGCACTATTTACTATATTCCTAGCCCTTGGTAATCCCGGGAAATATTTTTTCAAATTCAATTTCCTAATAAATGTCGAAGTGAAGGGGTGGTATATTGTCTGGAATGTGAGTGTGGTCTTCAGTATGTGGGAAGAACCAAAAGACCGCTATGGAAAAGATTAAGGGAACACATACAAAATACCAGGAAAGGTTTCCCCAAATATAACGTGTCCAGACATTTTGCCATACACCATAATAAAGATCCATCGAAGATGTTATTTTGGGGTATAGAAAAATATAAAAGACATTGGCAAGGGAGCAACAAGATTAGATCTTTAAGCAAAGCCGAGTCTAAATAGATTTACCATATGGGTACCCAAGTGCCTAAAGGATTGAACGTGGAGTTTGACTTAAACTGTTTCATTAGCGATTTTTGATTGACTTTATGTTGAGTTTTTATGGGTTTTATGATTCACTTGGCTATAAATAATAAAATATTAATTAATATATATTTATTTGTTTTATATATATATTGTTTTATCATAATTAATTATGAATATTTAATGTAAATGTGTGGGTATATTACATGAATGGGGCTATATATTTTTTATTTTTTGTTTATTATATATTCCCTTGTAGGCATTTTTTATCCCCTTGATTAGATTAATTTTATGGGATCATCCTGGTATTAATGTGCTTTTCCTATTTGGTAATTTTATGGGATTATCCCGGTAATAATATGTCTTGTTAATAGGTGATTTTATATTATTTTTATATTATTTTTTTTTTTAGTTTTTAAGTAATGCCCATTTTTTGCATATATTTATTTATATTTTTTATTTATTTATAATTGGGATGTAGGGATTTGGTATCAGGGTGAGGTTAAATAGGGAGTTTTTAGGCATATAGCATTGGGATGCTGTACTACACCTTTGTATATGATGTTTTTTTGTACTGGTGTAATTAGGGTACAAGAGTGGTTATATGGCCGCGATGTAGGACTCCAGAAATATGGCCGCCAGCATTGTTAAAGCTATGAGGAGGAGCTGTAACCATGGAGACTGGAAATAGACTGGGTATAAAGGTAGTGAGCTGCGCACCAATAGCGATACCTCGAGGAAGTCACGAGGTTGGTGACGTAACGCGTAGGTACACCGTGACGCAGCTTCCGGAGCGCAGTGATGCACTTCCAGCGTCGGATGCCATTTTGAGGAATCTGAAAGTCCCCTATTCATGCAGTATATGCTAGCATGAGGGATCTGCTGTTACATTTAAGAGAAAAGTGAGTGGGCATTTTTACTGTTTAAAATAGGAGTAGGATCCAGGGAGATCCTGAAAGTGAAGTGGCCCATTGGGAGGTGAGGAGGCAATCTAGCCATTGAGGATTTGAGTGTGCTGACACATTCACAGTTCACAGTTACCTTCACCACACTATGCTGCATGGTTTTTGAAGCACAAGTTTATGGACATTTATATTTATGTAGAGTTTAGTGTGTTTGATCACATTTTCACTTTATCGCTTTTATTCCCCTGTTATAGGGGTCCTTATATTTGTTTTAAGGTGTCACATGATTAACTTTGTGGTATTATTCACTGAATATAGAGCACTAAGGTGACTTCAGGTCACGTGATATATTTATATTTATATTTTTGTGGCACGTTTTAAATATATATATATTTATATTTTTATTGGATGTACATTTGGGGGGGGGGGTTTAGGTTAATAGAGCGCTGCACTATAGTTGTTTGTGGCGTTAAACCTGTTCTCTCCTCTCTCTGGCCTCCTCCCAGCCGACCCCTCACCAACACTCTCCCTCCCAGCATGCACTGAGACCAAGGGCAGGGCCGCAGGGGACTTGTTGCCAGGTTTTGTTTTATGATTGCACCATTCTGTTATGACCTACAGTTAAATATGAATTCCATAAGAAATAAAAGAAATGTGTTTTGCCTGCTCACTCATGTTTTCTTTAAAAAATGGTACATACTGTACCAATTCTCCAAGGGTATGCAAACTTTTGAGCACAACTTGCATCTCCCAAATGTTCACCTTTCTTCTGAATAATAGAATGAGAGGAAAATATTTTCTAAATTAGCAATTTCAACATTTGGAACGGCTCAATCCACACACGAGTGTCAAAACAGACTACAGCATGGGGGAACATTGTTTATGTCCTCCATTACTGTTCATGCCTTTGAATTTGATTGTAAGTCAGATGCAACCAGGGGAGGACTAACCATTTGGAAACTCGGGAACTGCCCGAGGGCCCGGGTCAGTAGGGGGCCCCATGAGATGCCCCTGGTACCTTTTTCATAGGCTTTTTTGAGTTTGAGCAAGGACACAGGTGCCCCATGATCCCCTATTGCCCGGGGGCCCCATGAGTTGTCAGTCCGCCCCTGGATGCAACTGATCAAAAAAGCAATATATTACTAATACTACTGATCAGAGAGTAAATGCAGTAAAATACAGATCTCCCTACAGTGAATAATGCGCAAAACTGTGTATTTATTAAGGATTGTATGTTTTTATATGTGACTAAATTCTTTGCTGACAATTGACATATCAATTTTAAACAAGGCAATAAAATCATTTTTATACTTACCCCGGGAAAACATATCTCCGGCTGGGTGCTTGGGGGGCTATTAAGATCCTCTTGAGAGGCATCACTTGTATTCCTAAGGGAAATATCCACTGGCTCCATCAAACCAGAAGAACTAAGGTACTCATCTGTTTCACAGTCAGCTAAGTGAAAGAAATAACTATGTTACACAGTTTAATAACAAGCTGTTTTTAAATGCTACATTTCCTTAAAGAAAGTACAGGAAATAAAATGTTTAAAAAACGGGATAACTAGTTTGATTAAACGCCTTTAAATTATAATAATGATTATCCAGTTTTTGAGGTCTGAGGTTTATGTCCTTGAACTTATAAGTCATTATAAATCAGTTGTTAGAGTCTGATACAAATTTGCTAATTGGATGATCATGTGGAAAGTTGGTGCAGATAGTGAGAACATAACTGCTTACATGTAGCCGAGGAATAACATGTTTGTCTGAAGTTAAACAGGCGATGCTGATCAGCTTCTGGTTCCTCTGGTTCAGGAAGAAATGTGCCACTGTTTACAGACTCTGCAGAGTCAGAGTTTGATGGCAGGGAGGTAGCTCCAGGAGTGGCATCAGGAGTGGGAGAAGCAGTGGTGCTCTGAGGATCTCTCAGCTGCTCAAGGAGCTTTAGGATGTTTTGCTGCTTCTCATCCTCTTTCTTCTTCAACTCCTCTTGGGCACGTCTCAGCTTTTCTCGTTTCCTCTTTATTGCCAACACACGGTCACGAATAGCCTTTGCCACAATTTTGTAGTCCCCTTCGCAGACAAAATTAAGCACCACCTTGGGAACACACAGGAAGTTTTAATACCAGAAAAATATAATATCGCAACATTTACCAAAACAGAACATTTTCTTATCTCGCATCCCTTTTTGAATATTGTCTCTACTGATTTCTTAAAGCTGAACTCCATTGTGATCTTTATTGCATATTTACATTGGTCCAGCTATGCTAAGGGTCCTTGGGAAGGTGATAGCAGTGATCTACTGCTATCACCCTCCTCCATCCTATGCTCCCTCACCCACATCTTCAATCTCTCCCTCTCTCTACTGGCGTATTCCCCTCCCCTCTTAAGCACGTGCATATCACTCCCATTCTCAAAAAACCCTCCCTGGACCCCCCACCGACCTGAACAACCTTAGGCCCATCTCCCTGCTGCCATTTACATCCAAACTCCTCGAGCGCTTAGTATATAATCGCCTAAGCTCCCACCTCAACGACAACAACCTCCTTGATCCCCTACAGTCTGGCTTCCGTCCCCTACACTCCACCGAAACCGCCCTACTCAAAATCACCAACGACCTGCTAACCGCCAAAGCTAATGGCCACTACTCAGTCCTCCTACTCCTTGACCTCTCTGCGGCCTTCAGCACAGTTGACCACCACCCCCTTCTCCTTACAGAACTATACTCCCTTGGCATCAGAGACTCTGCTCTCTCCTGGCTCTCCTCCTATCTATCCCAGCGCTCCTTCAGTGTTACCTATAACGTTAACCTCCCCCTCTCTCCCCCTCTCTGTTGGGGTCCCCCAAGGCTCTGTCCTTGGACCCCTTCTCTTCTCCATCTACACCTCCTCCCGTGGCCAACTGATACACTCCCAAGGCTTCAACTACCACCTCTACGCCGATGACACGCAAATCTACTCTCTCTATCCCTCGCCTCACCCCTTCGGTTTCCGCCCGAATCACCTGCCTACTGAACGACATATCAGACTGGATGTCACTCCACTTCCTCAAATTAAACCTTTCCAAAACCGAGCTCCTAGTTTTCCCCCCAGCCCGCGCCCCCCCCCCCCATCCTCTCCATCACGACTAATAACGCCACCATCAGTCCCACCCCGCAAGCCAAAGTCCTAGGTGTCACTCTAGACTCCAATCTGTCCTTCCAAACCCATGTCCAATCGCTGGCAAATTCATGCAGGCTCCACCTCCGCAACATCTCCAAAATATGTTTGTTCCGAACCCCAGACACTACTAAACAACTCATTCACTCCCTTATTATCTCACGACTAGACTACTGCAACTCCCTCCTCACCAGCTTACCTCATCACATACTATCCCCGTTTCAGTCTATCTTGAACTCAGCAGCCAGACTCATCCACCTTACCAACCGCTCCGTATCTGCTACCCCCCTCTGTCATTTCCTCCACTGGCTTCCGATTGCCCAACGCATTAAATTCAAATTACTAACATTGACATACAAAGCTATTCATAATACTGCCTGAAACTACCTCACCGACCTGATATCCAAATACCACCCAACACGTACTGTTCGCTCCTCACAAGACCTCCTACTCTCTAGCTCCCTAGTCTCCTACTCCCATGCCCGACTCCAGGACTTCTCCATGACTTCCCCCATCCTCTGGAACTCACTACCCCAATCCATCAGACTGTCACCTACCCTCCTCACCTTTAAGTGCACCCTGAAAACCCATCTCTTCAGGGAAGCCTTCCCCGCCCTCACCTAACAGCCGATCTCCTCTACTACTCCTACCACTCCATTCCCCACAGCTGCTTCCTCCTGTACCACTACCCCCTCCCTCCTAGATTGTAAGCTCCAAAGAGCAGGGCCCTCGAACCCCTCATGTATTGTATTGTTACTGTATTGTCTCATGTACTGTCCTCCACTACAATGTACAGCGCTGAGCAAACATTTTGGCGCTATATAAATACTGTATAAAAATTTAAAATAATAATAATCTACTGGGTTCTGTGCCATGCTGATTCTCCACTGCACAGTAACCACAAGGGGTTGCTTACTCAGCCCTGTTGCCATTTACAGAATGCCTTGAATTTTTTCAATGATTACAATGTGTTCTGTGATAGGATAAGGTGTAGATCATGATATCACCGCCCCATCTTTTATTCATCAAAAAACTTATAAGACAATTTGTAAATCGTGGCAGTGCTGAATGAGCAACTCTTTTAGGTCAGTGTGCAGTGGAGAAGCTACTTGGCACAGGACCCAGAAGACTGCTGCTATCACTGTAGTAGTGCCAACTTCTACAGTGATTTTCAATTTCCCCAACAGACATGTATGAGGTATGCATACTGTTATTGGTCCATACAGGCTTATTGTAAGTATGCCATAAAGGTCTTTACTGGAGTTCAGCTTTAAATTAATGTAACTGATATACTCAACAGATAATGAAGAGAAGAAAACAACAATACTATAATCAATCAATGCAATATGCTTAAAGTGAAACTGAACTCAAAAAGTGAAGATATGATATGTTATAGGAAACAATTAGAAATGTTAATGATACATTAAGTAAAAAAAGCCTTTTGGTTTTAGAACCATTTTAGGTTGTTAAATAAGAAAATGCCCTGCCCTATGCTCTTGTGTCCCTAACACAATTTACTTTGCGTTTTTGCTAGGCTGTAACCACCCTTTGCTGTTGTTTGCTTGTTTCTGGGCTTTCTTCCCTAAGTTTAGTAGGTTGATTGTTATCACCATTACTGTTACAGAGGCTCCAGTGAACAGTATTGGAAGGGCATTGGGTTATGAATATTTATCTGACTTAAAGGTATGGCTTGGGAGAAGATACATTTTAGGTCTACTAAGGCCTGGCCTCAATTTGGGACATGGGGATAAGTCCAAGGACTTCGGCTTGCTGCTGAATTAGATAACTGGAGGAAAAGGATCTTCTTGCTGAAGAATGTTGCAGAAGATCAAAAAAATCTGCTGTGTAGACACTGTTAGAGGGATTCATTGCACAAAGATCAAGGTATCTTTGAATGCTCCACAATGGGTCAAGGGATAAACTGATTAGAGAGAGATCCATTGCAACTAAAACAAAGTCATATATCTGTCTGCCTGCTCTCACAGGGTCAGCAGTTACCAAGAGGCTGCTTCTAAAAGATATTACTACTACTAAAGCTGTTTTCAGAACATCTCTCCTATTTTCTGCTTGGTTTGGGTACCCTGCACCCCCTTAAACGCTCTTTCCTAGAATTGAGTTCAGCTAAAAAAGGTAAAAAGACTAAAGTAACTGCTGCCAAACTTATTTTGTGTCCCACCTTACACCAAGGACAATACTCTGAAACTGAAATGGTAACCTAAAACCCTTAGGGGGTCATTCTGCACCACCCCAAGAGAGAAGGAATGTTACACTTGGGTTTTATAAAACACTTACCATCTCTTGAGCTACCTCTTCTGCAATATCTTTGTAAAGGTCAAAGAGGAACTCTATGGCATTGTTGTCTTTGTATTTGCCATGCAGCTTTTTACTGTCATCCATCCTCAACCAAAGTTTCAAGGCTGGTTTGACTCCATCATCTTCTTCTGCAAGTTCGACATGAACCCCAGTGTCTTCCTGAAAAAAGGAGTGTTCCAGAAGGTCCTGGATGGTATACCTGTCAAGATCCAAAAAGGCTTTCAGTTATACAGTATGTTATTGATATGTACATCATAAAGTTGATGACTACAATTTGCCTTTATCTGCATTTCCTGTTTTTATTCTTTATTGTCTTTTGGTTGCCTTTTCAAGTTTGGAAGATAAAATGTGTGTTTGCCAAATATCTGTAGGAAGGTGGTGGTAGAAGAATTGGGTTTTACTGGGTTTCACCTTCACTCTTCCCTCAACCTAAAATGTGTCAGATCTCTAGACCAAGGCAAAGACCATGTATTATACTGCAAAGCCACTCCATGCTCCTCTATTCAGACCTCTATCAATGTAGCAGACTTTGGAATGAGGGACTCTGGCAGCCTTTCTTTGCAGCTTTCTACAGGATTGATATATCACAAATCCCAGATTCACAAATTAAGTCAGAGATGCTGAGTTACTCAGTGACAGGGGTCTAAAATAGTAAGTAAGCTGACTTAGAGAAACTATTTCTATCTTCACTAAGCCAACATAGAAATATATAAAACTATGAACTGGAGTATCCATGATAAGTGGTTTGGAATGAGCCTCATCTTATTTGTTTTCTTTGTTCTAACAAACTTGCTGTATTTGGTGACAATAAGGAGTGTGCAGTGGATGTGATTGGGAATATTTTTGCATGCCTCAAAAGCACATGCTCTCAAAACGTCAAATTACTAACATAAGGAGGTAGGATAGTGCTGGTGCACTAGAGCAATGCATGGATAAAAAATGTGCAGGTAGGCTGTGCTCTCTAAATGCCATTCTAAAGGCTGCCACATTGATAAAAGTTTGCCTGGGGTGCATGGAGTGGCTTCATGGTATAATAAATGGCCATTGCTTTGGCTTAGAGATCTGGTAAATTTTAGGCTGGGTGGTAGTGGGGGTGAAATTGTGACATGCAACCTCTTCCTTAAGCACTGCTCCCAGACGACAACTGTGGAGAAATTGTCAGACATACCTGGAAATGCTATGTCTGCAAAATCACAAGCTATTGCCACAACAACAGATTGCTTATGATCAAAGTATTTTACTAGGGGTGGTATAGTGTGCTCATTCAATGACAGAATAAAAAACAAAAGCATTGGGCAGGTAGTGTATTACCATTCTATGCCTCAAATTTGGGTAAAGTAAATTTTGAGAACAAAAACCTGTGCTGTTACACTTATTGTGAAACATAATAATGCAATGCATAGTTATTATTATACAGGATTTATATAGCGCCAACAGTTTGCACAGCGCTTTACAATGTAAAGTTGTGCTTAATGTTAATATACTGCCATCTTGTGGATATTTTGGTTATAGCACCTTCCTTTTACTCTGTGTCCCTCCCATTTCTGTGACAACTTCCTTCTTCTTCTTGCTCACATGCATTATGGGATAGCGATGGCTGCTAGTCTTTGATCTGCTCTCATCTAGGGATACATTACCATGTTTTGACCTGCAAATACAGACCTTTCATTCATCTGTTACATGTTGTTGTCTGCTATAATCAAGCCGCATTCAATAAAGACCTTCATGGATCAGAAATTGGTGCTTGGTGAGTTTAGATATCTGATAAAGACTGTCTGCGGTGATTGTATCTGCTCATACAGGCCAGGCAAAGAGGTCTTAGCAAAGTATAAGTCAGTCAGCATAAAACCGCAACCAAATATTATCAAGGTGTGAGTGTGGTAGCAAATAAACCAAATGGAGTGCTACTGTCAGGGACCCTGGGCTTCACGGCGGTACGCGGGGCGGCGCATGAGCAGAATGCCGACGCGCACTAGCCGGCGGTAGGACCTGGGCGACCGGGGCAACAGCGATGGCCATGCATGCACACTCGCGATCGCGGACACGCGCCTGGCATCAATGGCAGCGCAGGGCGCGCTATTTAAACAAGCCGGGGGTATGTAACATTGCCGTTTGGTCTTGATTATCTGTTCCTGCATTCTGTCTGTGAAGTATTCCCGTTGCCGACCTCTGCTTGATGCTGATCCTGCTGACTGTCTCCTGCTCAATCCCTGGCTTGTCCTGACTACTCTCTCCTGCCTGCTCCTTATGATTGATCTCCTGCCTGCTCCTTATGATTGATCTCCCGTTGCTGAACTTTGGCTTGACCTGACTATTCTCTGTCTGCTCCTCTGATACCTCGCTGCCCTGCACGTTACCGACCTGGCCCGCCTGACTACGCCATACCCCACGGTCTTCCATCCATCCCGCACGGATAGAGATACCGCCAGGTGGTGGCTGACACTACCAAACGGCCAGATGACGGAGCCTGGAAGAGGACCATCCCCGCTGGAGTACATATGCCAACATTTGGCAGCACTAACTCAGATGGTGAAAACACTTCAGGAGGGTTACACGCATCTGGAGGGGCGAATTCAGACACTAACCACGCTAAACTAAAAATAGGGTGAGTGAGCGCAATCTCAAAATAGCAGCTAGCACACAAGGCAATCCTCAACACCAAAATAGAAAATATAATAAAATGGTATGCAGCGCTAAAAAATAAAACAAACATCCATATACCCAAAGTGACAGTAAACGGATAAAACGGTGTAACCCATCAATTAAACTTTAAATAGTTCCATAAAGGTAAAGATGAAAGATCAACAATGTCAAAGTGGAGATAAAGATATTAAAATCCAATCAGGCTTATGGACGGATCCGGTAAATTAATGCGCTTACCACAAAGACATACAAACTAAGCGTTGTATGTATAATGATGGACATCAGGGCCTGGTCAACAAATAGGACTGCATCCGGTCACCATGTAAGACCCCCAGGAATGGTGGGAAACACTCTATAAGGTCATCTCAGGTCTCGCCGGCAGGTCCAACGAAGTCCTCTCCCAATATCACTCCTCTGGATCGCTCCACCTTGATGGGGCTCGTAAATAACGAGCCAGGGCAAAATGGCAATAATGGTGAAGTATGTCTTTATTGGGTTAAACAGCAGAAAGGTATATAAGGGAACTCACATAATAGAAGACGATGTCCAGGTTTAACAGAAAAGTTCCCTGGTGATTAGTGGCTCCCTGGTGATCTAATGGCGTCTGTTGAGTGGATCCCCTAACATGTTTCGAGCCACGCCTTTGACAACGAGCATTTTGCCCTGGCTCGTTATTTACGTGCCCCATCAAGGTGGAGCGATCCAGAGGAGTGATATCTCCACTTTGACATTGTTGATCTTTCATCTTTACCTTTATGGAACTATTTAAAGTTTAATTGATGGGTTTACACCGTTTTATCCGTTTACTGTCACTAACCACGCTAGCCTCTGTAACCCAGGATCCCCAGTGTCAGGGCTCCGGGTATGACCAGAGGTATGTGAACTGACGCAGGGAAACGCAGGCTTCAGATATGTTATAAACAATATAATTTATTAATACTAACAATACATAAACGCAGTGCAATACTAAAACATAACACAGTGCAAACGAACCAAACCAAATCACCCACAGATAACAATACATACAATGCAAGCGTAGTCAGGCAGGGTGGGTCAATAACAATCGGGCAGGTAGGAACAGGAGGAGCAGGCAGGCAGAGAGTAGTCAGGTCACGAGTCGGGTACAGCAACTAACGGGCAGGTAGGTACAGGGGGTCAGGCAGAGAATGGTCGGGGTCACAAGCCAGGGATCGAACAGGAGAAGTCAGCAGAGGTCCGGATCAGGCAGGGTCGGCAACAAATCAGTCAGACAGGAACAGGAATGCAGGTAACAAGATACAGGGGCCCATGGAAAAAACACACACCATTGCACAGACTGCAGGTCTGGCCATCCCTTAAATACACCTTCAATCAGCCTCAGGTGTTTTGGCTGACTGCAGGGTTGAGTCTCTGATTGCTGAGAGCACCCGCTTGCCAGCTCTGGTACTGCAGCCCACAAGGCAGGTGAGTCCCACCATTATTGGCAAGTCCATTCCTGACAGTACCCCCCCTCAAGGAGCGGCCTCAGGACGCTCCAAACAGTCCTAGCTGGGCAAAAGGTTCCACCACCCGGGTCTGGTAACTGGCGGGATATCAAAGACTGGCACATCGGGCTGGACTCCGGGCAGAGGCACATCGGGCTGGACTCCGAGCAGAGGCACATCGGGCTGGACTCCGGGCAGAGGCACAGGGCCCCCAGGAGGAGCGACAGGCACCGGGCCCCCAGGCGGAGCAACAGGCACCGGGCCCCCAGGCGGAGCGGCAGGCACAGGGCCCCCAGGAGGAGCGGCAGGCACAGGGCCCCCAGGAGGAGCGGCGGGCGCCAGTGGGTTCCGAGTCAACTGGCATGACCGCGGGCACTGGGTCAGACATTGGATCGTCTGGCTCGACAGCGGGCACCGCGTCATCTGGCAAGGCAGTGGGCACCAAGTCACCAGGCACGCCAGTGGGTTCCGAGTCAACTGGCATGACCGCGGGCACTGGGTCAGACATTGGATCGTCTGGCTCGACAGCGGGCATCGGGTCACCAGGCATCAGGTCATTTGGCTCGATAGCGGGCAAAGCGTCATCTGGCAAGGCAGTGGGCACCGAGTCACCAGGCACGACAGTGGGCTCTGAGTCAATTGGCACGACAGCGGGCACCGGGTCATCAGGTACCAGATCGTCCGGATCGACAGCGGGCACCGGGTCATCAGGCATTGGATCGTCTGGCTCGACAGCGGGCACCGCGTCATCTGGCAAGGCAGTGGGCACTGAATCACCAGGCACGACAGTGGGCTCTGAGTCAATTGGCTCGACAGCGGGCACCGGGTCATCAGGTACCGGATCGTCTGGCTCGACAGCAGGCACCGGGTCATCTGGCGCTGGATCGTCTGGCTCGACAGCGGGCATTGGGTCACCAGGCATGACAGCGGGCCCCCGGGTCATCAGGTACCGGATCGTCTGGCTCGACAGCGGGCATCGGGTCACCAGGCAAGACAGCGGGCACTGGGTCATCAGGCATTGGATCGTCAGGCTGGATCAGTTCATCAGGCTGGGTACAGACATCAGGCTGGGTAGGGACATCAGGCTGAAGTGCGGGTGCCGAGGCACCAGGCTGAACCACGGAAGGCAGGTTCTCAGACAGCAGGCTCACCGGTTTGGATACTGGCAGGATGGTACTGGTTGGAAAGAATTTTCGCTTTTTTCTGGTTTTAACTACTGGAGCACTGCAAGTAAACGCAAGGTCTGCAAACGAATGGAGCAGCTGAGGACAGAGAAGAGCTGGAAGATGGAACAGAGGAGGGAGCAGCCGCCACAGAGGACCTCTCCACAGGGCCAAAGAAAGGATAGAGGCAGGATAGGGAGCAGGGGACTAGTATGTGGTAGTTAGAGTATACTGGGCCATCACTGGGGGTGCTGTCGGGGATGCAGGAAGAGTGCCTTGAGCAGAGGAATGACGTTGCAAGCTGACTGAGGCTGGGTGCAACAAGTCTGACCATGTCTGCAGTATGGGTTGAACAAAGCTGAGCTTACACAAAGTCTGTCTGGTCAAAGACTGCACTGAGTTTATACAATCCCTTAATACCTGTGGTGAACATGCAGCATAATGCTCCAAGAAGCAATCCACATCATCCTCTAATAACCATACCAGGGACTCTACCTGGTCTGCACTAAATGGTGGCAAAAAGTCATTCCTGCTTTCAGGGGTACCAGATGAAGCCAACTCTACACAAACCAGAATCAAAGGTTGCACCTCAGAGAACTCTGTGCCCTGATCTACTAGAACATGAGCGATCCGTATACATTCTAGCAGTTGATCCCGGGTATACTCCCTCAGAGTCTGATAAGCATATTCTCTGTCATCAAAAACCAGCAGCGACAAATACACAACCTCATCAAGATCCATCCTTCCCAGCAACAAACCAAGATGGCTTCCCTGTGCAGCCACTTCTGGTCAGGATTGGCCTTGGTGTAATGTCAGGGCTCCGGGTATGACCAGAGGTATATGAACTGACGCAGGGAAACGCAGACTTCAGATATGTTATAAACAATATAATTTATTAATACTAACAATACATAAACGCAGTGCAATACTAAAACATAACACAGTGCAAACGAACCAAACCACCCACAGATAACAATACATACAATGCAAGCGTAGTCAGGCAGGGTGGGTCAATAACAATCGGGCAGGTAGGAACAGGAGGAGCAGGCAGAGAGTAGTCAGGTCACGAGCCGGGTACAGCAACTAATGGGCAGGTAGGTACAGGGGGTCAGGCAGAGAATGGTCGGGGTCACAAGCCAGGGATCGAACAGGAGAAGTCAGCAGAGGTCCGGATCAGGCAGGGTCGGCAACAAATCAGTCAGACAGGAACAGGAATGCAGGTAACAAGATACAGGGGCCCATGGAAAAACACACACCAAGGCACAGACTGCAGGTCTGGCCATCCCTTAAATACACCTGCAATCAGCCTCAGGTGTTTTGGCTGACTGCAGGGTTGAGTCTCTGATTGCTGAGAGCACCCGCTTGCCAGCCCTGGTACTGCAGCCCACAAGGCAGGTGAGTCCCACCATTATTGGCAAGTCCATTCCTGACACCCAGAATCACCTGTTGGAGCGGTGGTTTCCATACCTCCACCTGAACCTCGCGTGCCAATACCAGAACGGTTCAATGGGGATCGAGCAAAATTCAGGGCCTTCCACAATGCCTGCCAGCTCTACTTTAACCTGCAGCCGCTGACCTTCTCTACTGAATCCGTGAAGATGGGGTTCATTATAGCCCTGCTACAAGATGAACCTCAGGCCTGGGCCCACCGACTACTGGAGGCCCATCATCCACAGTTAAGTTCAGTATCGACATTTTTTGAAGCAATGGAGTTATTATATGATGACCCGCAGCGGGCAGCGTCAACCGAATCGGCCTTACATGCACTCAGACAAGGTCGCCGGGCAGCAGAAGAGTATGCTTCAGAGTTCAGATGCTGGATGGGGGACACACAGTGGAATGATGCGGCCCTGCGCCACCAGTTCCGCATGGGATTGTCCGAGTCGCTCAAGGACGAACTAGCCAGAGTGGGCATACCGGATAGATTGGAGGACCTAATAGCTCTGGCTTTCCAGATTGACCGCAGGTTGCGGGAACGCAGGATGGAAAGGTCCGGCCAGGGTCAGAGGCCTACATGGGTGTTACCCCGCGTCCCTATCCAGTCCACTTCGCTTGCTGGAAATCGGTACTAGGAGACGGTGGACATGACTGAACCCATGCAAGTGGGATTAACCCGTCCTTCATTGACGTTTGAGGAACGCCAGAGACGTCGGCTGAACAATCTCTGTCTGCATTGTGGGGAAACAGGTCATGTGGTACGTTCCTGCCCAGTGAAGCTAAGTAAGTGTGCCTCTGTTTTTTCTGCTGCATCTCCCACCTATCTCAATAATTCAAATTACTTAGCAGTGCCTATTTATTTCCAGCTGCCCGGAAGGACCGTGTCAGCGACGGCAATCGTTGATTCAGGAGCTTGTAGCTGCTTTATAGACCTAGACTTTGCAGCAGAGCAGCAGATTCCCCTACAAACCAGGGAGTGTGTTAAACATCTTTTTGGCCGATGGGTCCCGTATTAAGTCAGGGGTGGTAGACCGGGAGACCCCACCTATCTATGCTACGGTGGCTGACCATCATCGAGAGATCCTCCATCTGGATGCCATCGCATCCCCTCTGTTTCCAATTATTCTGGGGCTTCCTTGGTTACGGGCACACGACCCCCAGATTAATTGGAAAACTGGCTCAATTCAGTTCAGGTACCCCTACTGTCAGGAGCATTGCTGTCCTCAGGCTCCCTTAGCGACGCGTTCCCTATTGTGCATGGACACGGATGCAGAACTGACCCAAGTCATTCCCCTGGCCTACCACAGCTACCTCGATGTGTTCAGTAAGCGAGGAGCAGACAATCTCCCCCCACACTGGACCTATGACTGCCCCATCGACTTGCTCCCGGGATCTGAGGTCCCTTTCGGTCGAATATTCCCTCTGTCTGAACGGGAGCTGGGGGTACTAAGGGAATATATTGAAGAAAACCCCCACAAAGGGTTCACGTCACCGGCCGGGGCTGGGATTTTCTTTGTGGAACAGAAAGATAAGTCCCTAAGACCCTGTGTGGATTACAGGGAACTAAATAAAATTACAGTGAAGAATCGCTACCCGCTTCCCTTAGTACCGGAGTTATTCCAAAGGTTAAGGTCAGCGTCCGTCTTCACTAAGTTGGATTTAAGGGGTGCTTACAATTTAGTCCGCATTAGGGAGGGAGACGAGTGGAATTCCGCACCAGATTCGGGCACTTTGAGTACCTGGTCATGCCCTATGCAACGCACCAGCCACATTCCAACATTTTATCAACGATGTGTTCGGAGACTTCTTGGACGTCTTTGTTGTCATCTACTTAGATGACATCTTGATTTTCTCCTCATCCCTGGAGGAGCATAGAGGTCATGTCAGGAGCGTGTTGGGGAGACTCCACCAACACGGGCTGTACGCAAAGGCAGACAAGTGCAGTTTTGAACAGCGTAGCATTTCCTTCTTGGGTTTAATTATTTCTACTACGGAGTAGCCATGGACCCCCAAAAGATTTCTGCCATTCTGGAATGGCCGATACCCGCCGATAAAAAGGGTGTGCAGCGATTCATTGGCTTCGCCAACTTTTATAGGAAGTTCATCAAGAACTTTTCGGGTCTTGTGTCCCCTATTACCCAACTCACAAGACAGGGGGTACGCTTTAGTTGGACACCTGAGGCACAGATGGCATTCAAGTCCTTGAAAAAGCTGTTTACTGAAGCCCCTATTTTGAGCCATCCCGATTCCTGTTTACCTTATATCCTGGAGGTGGACGCATCTGAAAACGCGGTGGGCGCAGTGCTATCCCAAAGGAAGGGCATCAAGGAACTGATGCACCCAGTGGCCTTTTTCTCCAGAAAACTCTCGTCGGCAGAGAAGAACTACGATATTGGGGATCAGGAACTCCTGGCACTCAAGGTGGCATTGGAGGAGTGGAGGTACCTGCTGGAAGGGGCTACACACCCGATCTTGATCTTCACAGATCACAAGCACCTGGAATATCTGACCTACCATCAAGAATTGTTGACTTGCATGAAGCTGGAAAGGGTTACAAAAGTATCTCCAAAAGCCTTGATGTTCATGTGTCCACGGTAAGACAGACTGTCTACAAATGGAGAAAGTTTAGCACTGTTGCTACTCTCCCTAGGCGTGGTCGTCCTGTAAAAATGACTGCAAGAGCACAGCGCAGAATGCTGTATGAGGTAAAGAAGAATCCCAGAGTGTCAGCTAAAGACCTACAGAAATCTCTGGCACATGCTAACATTTTTGTTGACACATCTACAATAAGGAAAACATTAAACAAGAATGGAGTACATGGGAGGACACCACGGAGGAAGCCATTGCTGTCCAAAAAGAAGATTGCAGCACGTTTGAAGTTTGCAAAAGAGCACCTGGATGTTCCACAGCACTACTGGCAAAATATACTGCGGACAGATGAAACCAAGATTGAGTTGTTTGGGAAGAACACACAACACTATGTGTGGAGAAAAAAAGACACAGCACACCAACATCAAAACCTCATCCCCACTGTGAAACATGGCGGAGGGAGCATCATGGTTTGGGGCTGCTTTGCTGCCTCAGGGCCTGGACGGATTGTTGTCATTGATGGGAAAATGAATTCCAGAGTTTATCAAGACATTTTGCAGGAAAACGTACAACCATCTGTCCGCCAACTGAAGCTCCGCAGAGGATGGGTGATGCAACAGGACAATGACCCAAAGCATACAAGTAATTCAACAAAACAATGGCTGCAACAGCACAGAATACGCCTTCTGGAGTTGCCCAGTCAGAGTCCTGACCTCAACCCCATTGAAATGCTGTGGCATGACCTTAAGAGAGCGATTCACACCAGACATCCCAAGAATATTGCTACACTGAAACAGTTTTGTGAAGAGGAGTGGTCCAAAATGACTTCAGATCGTTGTGCAGGTCTGATCTGCAACTACAGGAAACGTTTGGTTGAGGTTATTGCTGCCAAAGGAGGGTCAACCAGTTATTAAGTCCAAAGG